GATGAGGGCAGGGCCAGGACCAGAAGCGGTGCTCCTGGAGCCCAAGAAAGGGCCTGAGTTGCTCTGGGTGAGAAGGATCAGGAAACAGTATTGGTTCCCCAGGTGTCTGGGGCCCCAAGACTAGGAATGGCACAGGGTCCAAACTAGAGTATAGAACAGCGGTCGGGAGGCAGGGGAGTGGGGGGTGGGGTGGAAGGGTGAATGAGGCTTAGGGAGTCCCGGGCGGAGAGCTGCGCTGTAGACTTACCCCAAGAGGCCTGAAGATAGTAGTCGATATTTTATTATTTTTATGTGTATGAGTGCGTAAGTGCACCCGTGTCAGGCAATGCCTGCAGAGATCAGAAGAGAGCATTAGGTCCCTTAGAACAAGAGTTATAGACAATTTTCATCCACCACGTGGGTGTTGGGACCTGAACCAGGGTCTTCTGCAAGAGCAACAAGTGCTCTTAACTACTGAGCCATCTGTCCATCCCATGAAGCCTATACTTTGAAAACTGAAATTTAAAGGACTGCAAGGAACAAAGGTTAGATTTTTCTAAAATGCGTTTGCTGTGCCATAAAGAGTTAGCCAATGTGGTAGATACAGAAGAGGATCAGAGGGTCTCAGAAAATCAATACCTCAAAGAAGTTTTCAGATGTCAAACAATGGAGCACAACCCTGTCTAGTTACTATGAAAAATAAACTCATTGATAGTGTCTGGTAATTCACAGAATCAACACACTGCCTAAAGAAACAGGCTCAGTGTAAGCAGAAGCCAGGTACTGGTGACCAGAAGTACGGCCAAGACCACATGTCAGGAACAGCTAGACTTTGAGACATCACTTCCAACCTTCACTGCCACTACCTGCAGCTTGGAAACCCTGCTAAAGGTGTTTATGTAGCCACCACTATCACTGCAAGAAATTCTACCTGCCCCTACTTCTTTAGATAACTGCTTGAAGATTCCAAGTCTGGAATAAGAAAAGGTGGGCTGAAAAACTGGAGCTGAGGTCAAGCAGGAGGAACATATGCCTGACTGTTTGCCTTTGTAATGGAGTGGGCTCTGCTTCTCCCTAAGACTCAGACAGGAGTCCTCAAACATAGAAACTGAATGTGGATGCTAAAGAATCATAAACAGATAAGTATTCACTATAAAACCTGAAAAAAGAATCTACAGCCTGGTTACAACTGACCTCCCAGCTAAGAGAGGCCCACTCCAATCTCACAAGAACTACCTCACCAGGTTGACCCTGTTCAACAAGAAAGAGGGATGTGTTCATGGAAAAGGCGGCCTTTTCATAAAGTACCACACACGGTAAATTGGAAATTAGAGTAGCATTCCCTTCAAAGTCCCTGAAATGATGACATACGTGTGGCCGTAGTTTCTTAACCACATTGTTAGGACATTTGTCAGTTACTTCCTCCTGTGCCTTAGTGATACATACAATGCTTTTTACAAAAATACTAATGATGGTCACACTGAGTAAGGACTTGCTAAGTATGGGGGGGCGTGTTATCGTGCTATGGGCATCTTGTATGCACATATTTACATATACCAAATTACTTTATTTTCATAATAACTCTGTGGATTCAGTACTGTGATGATGTCCCTTTTTAATGGGTGGGAAAACTGAGTATAGAGTTTTTCTAATTTACTCAAAGACATGCAGCAAGTTAACAGCAGGACTAAGATGAACCAGTGTGGCTTCAGCATCTGCCCTCTTCAGCACCTCGTGTGTGTGTGTGTGTGTGTGTGTGTATGTACTTGTTAGTGTGGGTGTGTGCACACGTATGCATGCAGGTGCGTATATGCATATGTGCACTTGGGTGTGTTGGCCTTTAGAAGCCAATGTTGGGTGTCTTTCCTTGATCACTCTCCACCTTTATTTTTGAGGCAGGGTCTCTCATTGAACCTGGAGCTCTTCGATCTCGCTAGGCTCACTGTACAATGAGCTTAAGGATCCTTCTGTCTATAACCACCAGTATTATTGGGGTTATACGTTTATGTTACCATGCCCAGTTTTTATGTGGGTTACTGAAGAGCCAAAGGCAGGTCCTTATGCTTAGCCAGCAAGTTCTTTACTGACTGAGTCATCTGTACCCCATCACCTCCCTTTGAAAACATTTCCAGCAAATCTTAATGGATAATGGATAGTGATGGTGGGGTTTATCATTCATTTTTCCCCACCAGATTATCCACTATAGAAAACTAACCTCTGCCACATCCACTCTAATACTTGTGTGGCCCCCAAGGCTCACCTTTCTCATTCTTTGCAGATCAAACAAGTTTTGAGCTGATTGTGAGTTTCTGATGGATCTGAACATGACACACATGCTGGCAGGCATGAGAATTATTTATTTATAGTACCCTGGTTTTCAGTGATAACATGACTTGTACACTTATCCATTTTAATACAAAATATTTCTAAGCTATCATTATTTCAAATCAGCACTCTCTGGGGCAGCCCTAAATAAGGTGACCCAATATATTATTTTTAATTTATTATGAGTTGGCAAAATATTTATATTTAAATTGGTTGTTTAATGAAATGTATTCAGTAAAATATAACTAGTTCAAATTAATGAGCTTATTTGATACCTGTTTCTTCCATTCACTACTTATTTTTCCAATATTTTACTGTATAAATTTTCAAAGATAGAGAAAAAGTGAAGGAACTCTATAGTGGGCACCCCTACACTATCAACCGGACCTAACATCTAACATTTCTCTTATTTGTTTTCTTGTAACTGCTCCTCTCTACATCATTCTCTTCATCCATCCATCCATCCTGCTTTTAATGCATTGCAAAGTAACCTGCAATATCAGAACACCTTCCCCTTATGTACTTTGGTATGCATATCAGTAACTGGAGCTAAGCATTTCCTCGAAACTCCTTTTTGAGACCAAACACATTTGGCGAAATAGGACACTCTTTAGTGCAATGTTTAAAGAACCTGGCAAATGTATGTCTGTTTAACCAAACCCTTGTCAAGTTATATAACATTGTTATCATTTCAAAAAGTTCCTTCATGCTCCTTCCCAGTCAATTTCAATTCACCCTCCCCCATAGATAATCACTCTCTGGATTGTTTTTTCTACCATCGGCAACCTTTCTTGCTCTAGAACTTCATCAAAATGGAAACGTAAAATATTTGCTTTGTTTTTTCACTGGGCATACTTCTTGGGTTTAGGGTTTTATTTGTGATGCTATATGTATGAGTATTCTTTTATTTCAGAGTAACTTTGGTTGCTTGAATATATCATAGTTATTACTGTTTCTTTTTCCATTCTCTTGTAGGTGGACTCATAAATGGACTACTTCCAGGCTTTATTTATTGAGTTAAGCTGTAAAGAACATCCCTGTGCAAGTATTTTGTGGACTTATATTTCATTTCTCTTGGGAAAATACAAAACTTTAATCTAGTGGCATTACTAGATTATAAAGAGGTTGTGTGTTTCACTAATGAATTTTTCAGAGCATTTTCCAAAGGTGTTAAATCATTTTATACCCATCAATAATAAGTGTCTTAGCTGTTCCCTATTCTGTCCAACATTGGATGATACCAGTTTTTTTTTTTACATTCTATTGGTTATTAATATTATTCACTGTAGGGCTTTTAAGATTTGTTTTTCTTATTTTTAATTATAATATATGTATCTGTGTGTGGGTATGTGAACATGAGCACAGATACCTGTGAAGGCCAGGAAAGGCCATGGATCTCATGGAGCTGGAGTTACAATAGTTGGGAGACACCTGATGTGAGTGCTGGGGATTGAACCCGGGACCTCTGCAAGAGCAGCAAGTACTTTCTTAATCAGTGAACCATATCGCCAGTCCCCACTGTAATTTTAAATTACATTTCTCCAATGACTATTGCTCTAGAGCACATTTCCGTGTCCTTATTACTGGCTATTTGTAAAACACCTATCAAATCTTTTGCTCATTTTTATTAGATTGCTTTTATTATCGTGATATCTTAATAAGAGTTCAGTTAAAATGAAGTCTTTTAAGTCCACAAAGCAAAATATATGAACTGGCTGCCTCAAGTCACATTTATTAGTCATTATATTAGTACATAGATTAATAAAAAATTTAATAACCTGTTATAAAAACTCAAACCCAATTTTTACCACATCTTTTTGAAAACAAATTTAAACCTCCTCCTAAGCGAAACCTACACTCTGAAGGTACGTGAAGTAGGCATATATATATAAATTGAACTCTTAGTCAAATTTAAACTTCCCCGTCCAGCTACACATTTCTATAAAGCTGAGTATTATCCGACATCCATGTTTACAGTCTTTTAACAGTCATTCATTTTCTCTAGGTTTTTCTTGGCTCTCTGAAATTCAGAATTCAAATCCCAGATCTTTCCATTCTTATTCTAGGCAGGATTCTGATTTTCTTTTTAAGATTTACTTTTATTGTGTATGTGTGTGTGTGTGTGTGTGTGTGTGTGTGTGTGTTTACTGGTACCTGTGGAGATCAAAAGAGGGCACCAGATCCCCTGAAGCTGGAGGTATAAGCAATTGTGAGCCACGAGACATGGGTGCTAGAAACTGCACTCTGGTCCTCTGAAAATGCAGCAAGTTCTCTTAACTGCTGAGGCCCTCTCTCCAGCACCTGTAGATGAGTTAGTCCTCTTAACTCACCCTGGTGGTCTTCACTCCTCTCACTTGTACTACCTGATTTCCTAAAGATAGTGCTCACTTTGAACACTGTATATAATTCCATAAAAATGTGATAAGTGCATTCTGGGCTTGGTGGCCTGTGCCTTTAATCCCAGCCCTCAGGAAGCAGAGGCACATGGATCTCTGTGAGATTGAGGAGGCCACCCTGGTTCACATTATGACTTCCAGATGGACTGTCAAACCCTGTCATAAAAACAATAAAAAAAATGTGATCAATGTAAATCATTAATCTCATAAGGATACAAGCAAAATAATGTAACAAAAAGCATGGAACTGGTTATACGGAGGAAGCGATGTGAAGAACAGAGCAGTTGGGATCCTTTACATTGCATGATAACAGAAACCTGGGACAAATTACACCAGACAAAGGAGAGGACATGTTGGTTTCAGTGGCACAGGAGGAGCAGGGCTGCAGCTGGACCTTAAAGACAGTGACTTGAGTACAAGCAACTTCGCAGCCAGAAATCTGGATCCCACCAAGATTCCCTGGCCCTCACCGCCTTTCTCTGCACATCTATTTTATTGTTTTACACTAGCTGCAAACATATAGTAGAGAAAATGGGGACCAGGAGCTACTGTTAACTGCCCCCTCCCCAGAGAAGAACACACTGAGCTTTCCCTGGCCTTTACTTTGGAAATACAAATGGTAACTTCTGACCTGTCAGCCAACAGCTGAGTCCTGCTGTAGGAACACGGCAGCTCAGATGATAACTGGAAGTAACAGATTCCCTATAAATGACCAGAGCCCCCAAATGACTCGTGAAGGTGAAGGCAAACGAGGTTGAAATGTAGAGTAAAGACGCCAGCTATGATTTGACCCACTGTTGCTTAAAACGAAGATAGTGAACTATCTTTACCATGAGATGCATTTGCTCTTCCATCACATTATAATGTCATGTACTATTTGAGGGAGGAATGCAAAAATAGTTGAATCAAGCTATTCTTTAGCTAAAACTTGGTGATTTACCTCACTCTAAGTGGCAAAGTGAAATTTTTATCCAAAATAAATGTATTCAATGCCGAAGCCAAAAATGGTTTAATATTTCATTTTTTAAGTGCAATGTTTCTATTATATTCTATGCCTTTGATAAATTCAGGAATTTATCTCTTCCCTTAGAGACGAAGACAAGACAGGGCTTGTGAGTTCATCAGGGTGGCAAGGTGGGCTGAGGAAGTGTAGCTAATGCAAGACTGTGTACTAAAGCAGGAGCCTGAACAGGCATAAGATGAAATGAGCTCTCTGCCGAGGGGTGGAGAGAACAGACACGGGAGTGATGGAGTGCACCAGGAAAAGTTGGCAGAGGTCAAGTCATAAAGGGTTTCATGTCAATAAAGATGAGAGGATTCCAAAGACTTTTAAGCAGCTCGTAGGTGAGGGATAGCTTTGCAGTTATCATGTTATTTTTTAATCATGCTGAAAATGTTGAGGAGATAAACTGAACAGGTCTAAGCCAGAAACTTACAAAAGGATAATTCGTCACATGAGAAATAGAAGTACATACCAAGACATATGTACACCTACACATACAACAGCTGCTTTATGTCAGTGGGGTGACTATACTCAATAGAGCAGCCACCTCACAGGATCACGAGTGGAAACATTCTACTTTCAACTCAAGCGAGTAGTGGGTATGGGAAGATGAGAGGGCATCGCCTGTGTGGAAGTTGTCTGTAAAGGCCATGTGCCAAATTGAGTCCTTGCCCTTGTACTTTGGTAGCTAGAACATGTCTTGAGTGTCCTTGTGAATGGACTGCATTTTGTCCAGTTCAAGAAGAGCAACCATAATGAGTTAGGTGCCATGTGTTAAAGGGAAATAGAGGATTGCAAACCACTGCTGTTAAGAAGTTGGATGCTAGGTTGGGCATGGTGGTGCATGCCTTTAATCCCAGCACTCTCTATATAGTGAGACATATCTCAAAAAAAGAAGAATGAGAGAGAGAGAGAGAGAGAGAGAGAGAGAGAGAGAGCGAGCTTCTTGTGAGAGCAGCAAGCTGTGGCAAGAAATTCCACAGAAGAAAGAAAAGTAGATCTCAGAATGTCCTGGGGACTGATATTGGTGGCTTGAATGACAGGCAGAATTACATAGCTACATGTTACATTTGGGTATGGACATAAAGCCAACTACCCTTAACTAGGTTAAACTTTTTGACTCAGCAATCTCTGAAAGGTAAATGAGTTGTTCTTAGGTTCTCAAATCATACACATTTTTTTTCAGTTGACCAGAGATACTGTAGGAGACTCGTAAAAAACTGTCCAAGCCTGAAAACCATCATGCCACACAAGAAGACCATGATTCCTCAGTCCCAGCATTCATCCAAGAAGTTAGCTGGTGAGTGCTGGAAGATGGCCAAGGAGTGCATCTGCCAAACAAATTCACAATATAGTCAGACTCATCAAAGAATTCCTGGAAGGATAGTGCCTACTGGGAATAATGTACAAAGCCTTATACAGCACATCCAGGAAGACAATGATAATCATGGTAACAAGTGCTCTTTATTGAGTACCTATCACTTCTCAGGCCCTGTGCTAAGAACTAAGCATGCATTGGTTCATCTAATCCTAAGAACAGATGGTGGATAAAGAAAACTTGCAGCAAGTTCTCTACATATTAAGGTCACATGGTATGTTAGGGGTTTTTGGCACTGTGACAAAATGCCTGAGAAAACAACATAAAGGAGGAAAGATTTATTTGGTTTCAAAGGTTTGGGTCCATTGTCACTTGGCTCCATTGTACATGGTCCATGGTGAGGCAGAATATCATGACAGGGAACATGCTGAAGAAAAGAGCTGCTCACTTCATAGTGGCCAGGAAGCAGAGAGAAGCAGAGATCAAGAAGGGGCCGGAGACAAGATAAACCTTCCCGGAACATGCCTCACGTGACCAGTTTCTTCCAAACAGACCCCACTTCCTAGTTTCCACTACTTTCCAATAGCATCAAATTGTGAATCCATCAATGTATTGATGCATTGATTAGACCAGATTCTTCCACCCTATCCCATAATCCAATTTTCCAAAAGCCCAACCTCTGAGCATAACATTGGGGCCCAGGCTTTCAAAGTATGAGTCTTTTGAGGGGACACCTTGTATCTAAACCATAATATATGGTTAGAAAGTAACATAGACCAGAAATCAAAACCAGATTTCTCAGTTCCAGTGCCCATAGTTCTGTTAGGATAGTGTGTGTTTATGGAAGGTTGGTCGGTATACAATGAGCACACTGATGTACCAGGTGCCTTTTCAGAAATGGTTAGCAGTATGCAGGAGCTGACCAATCACCCTGATCTTCAGTTCACAAGAAGGAACAGCCTTGGGCCTGGAGCAGCAGACACATCAGGTTCCAACTCCACTCTGGAGAAAGTGGGGACTAAGGTAAACCTTCTGCCTTCCCATCTGAGAAGCCTTACCTGTATCAGGAGGTATTGTTCAGAATTTCTATCACAGAATTAGCAATAGGATGGCACCTAGCCAGGAAGTTAAAAATGTTTATGCTGAAAATACAAATTGAATTAAAAAGAATCTGCAGCACGTTTGGGGAGAAGCTAACATGGCTTAAGCATCCAGTGAAATGTGGGCACTCTTGACTTAATTTTGAAACAGCACAAGAGAGACGTATTCTTCAGAAAGCATCCTTACAAATGAGGACATCTGTGGACAATGCCCAAGATTATGAGTCAGACAGAGAACTTGGCCTGCCAAAACAAGGT